TACTGATGGTAGTCTTATGATTTGTGCCAACATTTACAAGTAGGAAAAAGTGCTGATTAGATGTTATGACCTTGACCTCCCATGCAAGGGTATTTATGGATTTTTCCTATCCATGAGGCTCTAAGTTAAGTACATGCCATATAAAGGGACTATGACAAATTAAGTTTAAGATTAATAAGAAAAATTAGTTTCTTCTTACACACATGTCCTACATGGATAAATTATTTTCATAGAAAGCAGCAGTGAGATAAGTCAACAATCATAAACTGATTGTAAAGAAGAGTCCTGGAAAGCTGTCTTTATTATAATTTTGGTTGTGATAACCTGGGAAAAATTGTATCTTTTATCGAAGCTCCAATTTCCCAGTCCATTAGTTGTGAATGGCTGTGCTTAAATCTACTTCTTTCGCTTCTTGTGAGGGAAAAAACAAACAAAAACACAAAAACCCTTGTGTATGTGAAAATTCTCATCTAAGTGCTTACCAATGAGAAAGATATCCATAGGTAAGAGTAAGAATTTATTTTTCAATAAAGCAACTGGATTACTTAAAACCAAGATAATATTCACTGCAAAATTAAAAATAGAAAAAAAGAGGGGGAGGAAACAAACCATCTATTTTAAGCTGAGCCCGCTCTTGAATTTCTGGATGGCATTTTCACTCAAGGCCATCCAGAGATTCAAATGAGGGCACAGTTTAGTAAGAATAGTCAGCCAAACCAACTTACAGTTCTGACTATTAAGTAAACAAAAGGGGTTCATAGGACGTTGACCAGAGAATGACCCGAATCTGAGAGCAAATTATTTTACATTTTGCAAAAACTAGACATTAAATGAAAATAGCAATTGAATTAGGAAAGTCATAGCAATTGATTTATTACTATGTACACATTAAAATACTGGAAACAGTAACAAGAAATGGAATGTGTATATTGTAAAGTTGAGTGGAGCAATTATACGTCTTGACACGTCTATAAGCAATTTGCATATATCCATAACCAGGGTTTTCCTGTACACAGTATTTCCTTAGGTACAAATTGTACTTAATAGAAAAATATCATTAGTTGCTAAGAATTCTCTCAATGTATCTCTCTTATTTAGTTTAAATTTCATCTAACCTCTTAACTCTATGAATCTCTGCCAACATAACCAGCTCCAAAACAAACTATTTTATAGACCTTCATTGAGCTCTCTGTGACTTCTTGAAAAACTCTGAGGCTACTAAAGATTATCTGGTGGTTTTGGTTTTGGTTTTTTTGGTGGGTTAGTTGGCTTTGGTCTTCTGAGATAGAGCCTCACTCTGCAGCCAGGATGTCCTGGTTCTCTCAGTCATCCTGAACTCAGCCTCCCAATTGCTGGGTACTGGTCTACTTTCATTGTTTTGTTTTTGTTTTCCCTGCTCTTTTTATCTTCCCATCAAGATACTGTCATTAAAGGATAAACAACTTCAAATCATCTGAAAAATCAAAATTCATTTCATTAAATTGCTAACCTACAAACAAGATCTGAGATTTACTCATCACCCCTTTGTTCATTTATCGGTCTATGTCAGTCAGAAATAAAGTGATTTTCAAGACACTTCAATGGAATATAACATCTCTCAACAACTGGGACATGGATAAGATAAAGCTAAAACCTGAGATGCCAAATACTGAAACAGTTTCTAAATTTAAAATGGCATAACTGCTAGCACTCATAATCATAGCCAGCTAGGTATTAAATATCACTTTTATTAGAAGAGGAGTTCACTTTCTATTTTCAGATTCTTTTAATAAAACTCATTTTTTTCAAACAAAATAATGCAATTTTGAAAAACTGTCTTTACTAGCCTTTAGGATCAATCCTCACTTGAACAAAATCAGTCTATAGAAAAATGAATTTTTGTACAGTTCCCACTTGGAGCCTGGGTCCTTCAAGTTTCAGATGAGGATAAAAACAATAACTCTACTATAGGGAGGAAGATGTTGAACAAATACTAGTAGGGAGAATCTGAGATTTAGCAGTGTTTCTGGTAAAATTTGTTAACTTATTAAACTACCCACTTTAAAAGACAGGCAAATTTAAATAAAGTACTATATGTTAGTAGCTCCAAATTTGGATTTTTTTTAAAGCTAGCCTAGCTGCAAAACTTAAATAGCTATTGGCAATGAGACATAAAGAAAGGTGAAGGTTTATAAAAGGCTGTAGGATGGCACTCAACATTGTACAGATGCTAAAAGGAATAAAGCATTTGTAGGAAGGAAAAAATAAAATCTAACAAATTAATGACAAGAAATTGTTGAGCAGCAGAATAAAAATGGAAACTCATGGGATTCCATGTGGCTACTAAAAATGAGTTGTTCCGGTAGAGTAACCTAAAGCAGGTTTGGGAAAGTATCTCTGTTGCAAGACATCTGCTCTGAGACTACCTTACCCAAACAGAATAGGCAGCTGCCAGACTGAAAAGCACTGGCTCAGACTCCCAGGATGTTTATTACCCAAGGCCATATTCATTTGTGAACTCTTCACACATCCCAGGGCAGTGGGAAAAATTTAATCACTAAGAATTTTCTCAGACTTTCGCCTACGTAGTTCAAGAAATAAGAAGCTATAACAAATTAAAGGCTTAATTTCTTGACCTTAATTTCTTCAACTTATACTATCTACTTCCCTGGACAAACAGGAAAGGAAATTTATTGCAAATCTTAAGGGGATAATCATTAAAAGATAAATCTTAAGATTTTATAATTCCTGATTGCCATTAACTATAATTTCTTGAAACTCTACCATTTAAAAAATATTTAATATGCTCCATTACCACAGGTGTCTAATGCATCAGAAAAAAATACTAAAAATATTTGTCCACTTAAGGGAAAAATATTTCTAATGGCTGTTAATTTAAAGCAGTATCACTGGGAAATTTATCACACTTGAGGATACTTTTCAATATAAATAATACTAGGGCTTGATTTCATACCATGGTGATGATGCTTAATTTAAACAGCATTCACACTTAGGAACTAGACTACAACTAACATGTCATTAAGTATTTTTAAAAAGATGACTGAGGATGGGGACAAGTGGGGAGGCAGACAGTGGCAATCTCTGGAAGATGGAATCTCTTCTCTCTGCTGGTCCTAGAAGAGAAAAGAGACACCAATAAGCATCAACACACTGTCCGGCTTCCTCCCGGCCCACTCTGCAGTGCAAACCTGACAGCCAGCCTCACCTTCATATCAGGTATTCAATGCCAAGAGAATGTAAAAAATGACACCTTCTCCTAACCAGAGCTATCTTTTTAAACAAAATTAAGCTATCAGAAATATTTTCTCTTATAGAGTTATAATCTATATCCAATGGGAGGGTACACAGCCAGACTGAAAGTAATAACTTATATCATCTTTCTGAATCATGTATTTCCAAAACCACTGCAGTCAAATACTTTAACTTACAAATCCTGGGCCTCATGCCAATGCTAAACTATCTGAATTTTCTATGAATGGGTGTTGTATGTGCTGGTGTGTCTGAAGCATGGAGCTCTAATCACGTGTTTGAGCTGAAACTGCTTTTTGTGACTTCCAGTCAGTGAACAAGTCACAGTGAAGGGAAGGGAAATTAATCAACTTGTACAATTTGAAAAAAGATAGTCCTTACTCTGGAAAGAAGTGCTAAAACAACTGAAATTGATCTAATAATTGATCTAACAATAATCTGAGTAATTTAGAGCGGCAGTAATAATTCCCTCATTTCTATAATACAAAGAAGATTCTGCAGAATGTACTTTTGCCCGGGAGTAGAGCTAGCTGATAATTCCGAACCCCGTGGCCACCCAACAAATTCCTGTACAACACCATTACAGTTTACATCATCGTAAATTACTGTAATTTTCTCACATACCCTTGTGGAGACCTAGTCACTATAAATCACGTCCCCAATAAATCTTTCAGGCATTCATTGATTTTAGTGGCTCAGGCCTGCAAGGTAAGTGTATACAATGAGGAGCTAATTTAAATTCACAGCATCTGTGTTGACCCATGATGGGTTTGCTTTCTTCCAAATTGGGCACTGGGGTTTACGAAATCAAAGAGACTCTCCAGCCATCTAAGATAGCAGTGAAATCGCATCTCTGGAAGCCTTGACAGTTTTAACAAAACGGTTCTTGTGGGCTCTGGGACCCCAACAACGACTGGTAAAAAGACCGGGCAGAATGAAGCATTCCTGGGCACCACCGTGCGTCTGCATCACGCTAGCCAACACGTGTGCAAAAGGCCACCGCAGACCCCAAACAAAGAGAGCCACAACTGCCAGGTCACCCCGCCTCCTTCTCACCGATCAGAGCCAAAACCAATGAACACCGGGGTGGGACAGGCGGGCTCGACCTCTTTGCAGAGGGCCTCTAAGGTCCTCCTGGTCGCTCAAATGCACCTGCTGTGAAGACAGTCCATTCCCGGGCGGGAGCCCAGGGCCTAGTACGGCCAAGTTCCCCGGACCGGCAGGCGTGAAGCCCACAAGGCCAAGCTCACGGCTCTCGCTGCTCACTCCCGCGGGGCCCCCGCGTTCCACGCGCCCTCCCCGGTCCCGCGCGCCCTCTCCCGTTCCACGCGCCCTCCCCGGTCCCGCGCGCCCTCTCCCGTTCCACGCGCCCTTCCCGGTCCCGCGCGTCCTCTCCCGTTCCACGCGCCCTCCCCGGTCCCGCGCGCCCTCTCCCGTTCCACGCGCCCTCCCCGGTCCCGCGCGCCCTCTCCCGTTCCACGCGCCCTCCCCGGTCCCGCGGCCCTCTCCCGTTCCACGCGCCCTCCCCGGTCCCGCGGCCCTCTCCCGTTCCACGCGCCCTCCCCGGTCCCGCGCGCCCTCTCCCGTTCCACGCGCCCTTCCCGATCACGCGCTCCCTTCCCTGTTTCCGCGATCGCCCTCTCCGTTCCCGCGATCGCCCTTGCCTTTCCCATGTGACCTCCTGTGACCGCACACCCGTGCCAGACACCAACCGCCCGCACCCCGCGGCCAGCCCCGCTTAGTGCACGCACCTCACTCGGCTGCTCCGAAAGCCCCGGAGCGCGCGCCCCGCCGTCCCCGGGAGTAGCGCGGGCCCGCGGCCCAGGCGTCCGCGGAGCAGCAGGAGGCCGCGAGCCCGCAGCGCCATGGCTGCGGACGCAGGATCCCCGCGCGAGGCCGGCTCCGCCCCAGCCGGTCTGGCGCAGCGCGAGGGGCCGCCCACCGCCCGGTCCCGGAGAGCCACGCGGGGCGGGGCCGGGAGGGGGACGGACCTGGAGACCCGGCTCCGCCCCTCCTGTACCGCCCCTCCGCAGGTCCCTCTGGCGAGGTCCAAGGGGAGGGCGGCTCCCCGAAGCCCTGCAGACTGTGTGCCCCACTTTCCCCCAGCCATTGCGCCTCTGGGGCCATCTCCACGGTTACGTGAAATACCGCTTTGAGTTGCAGAGCTGCTGCGAGACAGAGGCCTTGGCTTCCCAAGCCAACCCTCTCTGTGTGACCTTGAGAAAGAAACACAAAGAGAAACGGAAACAAGGATTTCACTGTGTGGAGGAGAACTCCACTCAACAAGGTCTGGATCCTAGGATCTCCATAACTTTACATACGTTTCCACCTTTGGAAGATGGATGACTTTTTCCCCCGGGGTCTGTAATCAAGTTGACATAGCCTGGAAACTCTTCATTGTGCAGTGAGTTTGTATTGAGAAAGCAAAATATTGCTCTTTGAAAACAAATCCTTAATTCATTGTACAAACTAAGAGAGACAACTACCACAAGTAAAACCGCTGCCAAGCTAGCAAGAAATAATATTTTTTCCAAGGTCAGGCTGCAGCTGCAAAGTCATAATCTCTTTCACAGATGCTCTCTACTGAGAAAATTTGTTTTCTAAAATCCAAGGTTGTTAGAAATGGAACCTCCCATTTGCGTCTAGCTGATAATAAGTAAAGCCCATGTGAAGGAGTGGCCTGAAAGATAAAGGGAGAAAAATCTCATCAGTGAGGTGTTTTTGAAAAGCATTTACATTATAATCTATAAACCGAAATAGTTTTAAACTTCTGCTGTGCAAAAGGAGAATTAACAGAATGAAAAGGTAAATCAGGGCAAACACTGGGAGAAAACGTGTGAAAAACATTACTCAAGAATTCATATAAAAAAATATCTGAAGAACTCTTAAAACACCACCAATAAAAACACAAGCCAAAATTAGACAAGAGATATTTGCAGTAAACAAATGTCAAATAAAGCATTTTTTTAAATTGCCATTTGGAAATGAAAATTAAGACAACAATGAAACAACAAACATCTATTAGGATGACTAAGGCTTCCCAAAACTGATAATTATCAATGTAGAGGAGAACATGGAGCAATCAGAACTCTACTCATTGTTGGTGGGAACTAAACAATGAATTTGTCCCTGTGTCATTCAGTTTTCTATCACCAGGAAAATAATGCCTGAGATAACTTAATGGAGGAAAAAGTTTGCTTTTGCTCATGTTGCTGGGAGTCCAGTCATTTAGCTGTCATGTTGCTCTGAGTCTTTGGTAGCATAGTCCAAAATGGCAACAACACTATGTGTTTGAGGAGTACTGTTGAATCTGGCATCTTGGAAGTAAAGAGTGAGAAAGATTGGGACTTCTGTCCCAATGTCTCTTTCAAGAGCACATCCCCAGTGACCTCATTTACTTCAGTTAGGTCCTATCTCTTAAAGGTAAGTAATGGGTAAACAAATTGTTTTATAACCACACAATGAGATAGCATTCATTAACAATAAGAAAAGTCATAAAAAGAGATGTATAAGCTTTAAATGATTGTTCAGCCAGGTGTTGTGGTTCAAACTTAACATTTCTGCACTCAAAGCAGTAGGAATGTGATGAATTTGAGGCTGGCTAGCCTGAACTACAAGGTAACCTGTCTAAAAGAATTGAAAAAATAGATAGAATATTCATAAGCAAAAACAGCTTAGCCGTGTGTCAGTGGTTCATGTCTATAATCCTAGCTACTCGGGAGGTTCTGATCTAAAGGTTTTGGCTCAAAGCCAGCCACTCAGGAAAGTCTATGAAACTCTTATTTCTGATTAACAACCACAAAAAGCTGGAAGTGGAGCTGTGGCTCAGGTGGCAGAGAAAATAGCTCAGGGGCAGCACACATGGCCTGAATTTGAGCTCCAGAATCTGTACACACACACACACACACACACACACACACACACACACACACACACACACCTGGAAAAGACAGTATTATTCAAATTATTTGGTATCATATTAAAAAAAAGAACCATTTTTTAAAAAAGCTAAATGATGGATAAAGTCTGTGGAAAAAGGTTTACTAGATAAAGGAAGCTTAGAGGGTTTTTAGGAGTGAAATCATTCTGTATGATAGTATAATCATTAATATCTGTTATGATACATTTGCCAAACCTTTAGAACTTAAAACATTAAGAATAAAACTTAATGTATATATATTTTAATTCATGTAGAAAGCTTCTGGTTTTCAGAAAATAATCTAGCCTGTTTATGTCAAGATAATCTGTTTTACCAATGTATGAATAACCTCAATGAAAGGGATAGGGGCAAAGTGATGACCTCAGTAACATGAAGGAACATTAAAACTGAGTGGAGTCTTTAAAACTGAGAAACTGCTTATCAACACTGTACTCTGATCTTTAATAAACTTGGATGTATATTAACAGTTCTGATAACATATATGTGCTCACTGGAATAAAATAGCTAAATGTGTGTTGGATTATAAGAATGATCTGTAAGAAACTTACAGGGAAGAACAGGGAAGAGGAGAGATCTATATTCATATTGATTAAGTTCAATATTTTTGAACTAATGTTTGGTATAATATAAGCACAGAAAAGTATATATAGATGAGTAAATATTCAGGAGTTAGTGTGCACACATTTTCAGGATTAGTGAGCATACCTACTCCCTAGATCTCACTTGATAATATATTATACATGTCTATAAATTGATCGATCCATTTATTTCAATCATCTCTAAAGATCCTCTGGATTTCTATAGAATTAAGGGTAATATCCCCTTTTCTATCTCCTCTAAGTCTTGAACTGGCTCTTATTATTGTAAAGCTGATGAACTAGATTGAAGTAGATTTCTCTTAATCCATTCAGTCAATGATATTTTGTTATGATAGCTCAAGCTAACAAATACACCATGAAAGCTCAAGGATACTGACTATCCATTTTAGGGAGTCATTGAAGACTCTCAGGGAGGCCATGCTCATGACCTCTGTGTTTTGAACCAATTACTTTGCAGTAAATAGGATTGACTAGAATGGATAGACTTGGAGTGGAGAGATTCAACATGAAGTTACTTCAATGATCCAGCTGAAATCCAAAATCAAAGCAATTGCATAGGGATGAAGGAAGGAAGACATACTACCTATGAGAGTAGCTAAGGGGGCTAGAAATAGCAGAGTTGAGAAAGAGGCTCGGTCTGTGATGAACTATAGGTTTCTGACTTAGATAGCTGGGTAAATTGTGCATAAAGCAAAATGGTAAAATAGAAGGAGCCAGGCACCAGTTGCTCATGGCTGAGTAGGTAGATTGCCCTAGCTACTCAGGAGACTGAGATCTGAGGATTATGGTTCAAAGCCAGCCTAGGAAAGAAAAGTCTATGAGACCCTTATCTTCAATTAACTCCAAGAAACTGTAAGTGAAGCTGTGGTTCAAGTGGTAGAATTCTAGCCTTTAGCAAAAGAGCTCAGAACACAGGCTCTGAGTTCAAGCCATAGTATTAACACAAAAAGAAAGAAAAAGGGAGAGAAAGGAAAGAAGGAAGGAAGGAAGGAATGAGGAAAGGAAGAAAAGGAAGGAAAGAAAGAAGGAAGGAAGGAAGAAAGAAAGGAATGAGGAAAGGAAGAAAAGGAAGGAAAGAAAGAAGGAAGGAAGGAAGAAAGAAAGAGAGGGAGGGAGGGAGGGAAGGAGAGAGGGAAGGAAGGAACGGTTTATCAGGCCTGAGTTTATCAGGCAAACTCTGGGGAGAGTTAACTAATTATAGTGTTTAATTGCCAATGCCTACATTGGCAACAAAAAGAAAGTGCAGCAAATAGACATCAGCTCGGATTAAGATCACTGCACTGGATGTTCCTGTGACAGAGGCTGACAGAGCTGGCAGGGAGCAACAGTCAGGATGTCTTAGTGGGCTAATGAGTTAGAGAGAAGAAATGCACCACACCCAAGCCTACACAGAGGCCTGTTTTTCTGGTGATTTTATGTTAGCACTCCACAGGGCCTGGCTATAACTGAGGTGGAGTTGGATACTACTACCTGAGGCAGAAATGAAAAAAAAAATGGAGATAACAATCCTGGCACCAAGACACTGCTATTAACAGGTCGTCTAACCTTGGGCAAGTCTGTTCCTTTCTCTTTGCTCAATGCTGTTCACACACAACATATAGTAAAAATAGAGTGATTGTTACCATGACACCCCGTTAGCCAAATAATACTTGAGGGACTGAGGAAATGACTCTTGGAGGCAGTAACATATAAAGTAATAGTGGGAGCATAGGTAAAAGTTAACCACACAGATGCACTAAAGATTGAGAAGATGAAAGAAGTTCCAGTTAGAGCAAACAGTACATGCAGACAACCTCCCCATTAATAACTAGGCTAAAGACTTAAAGAGAGATTTCTCTGACGAGGAAAATAAGAATGGCCAATAGAAATGCTCAACATGAAGAAATGCTCAACATCTCTGCCATAAAAGAAATACAAATCAAACCAACATTGAGATACCACCTCACTCCAGTTAGAATGGCTATAATCAAGAACTCTAATAATAACAGATGCTGGAGGGGATGTAGACAGAAGGGAACCCTACTGCATTGCTGGTGGGAGTGTAAATTTGTTCATCCACTCTGGAAAGCAGTATGAAGGTTCCTCAAAAGACTCCACATAGAGCTCCCCTATGACCCAGCAATCCCACTTTTGGGCATTTATCCAAATTATTACAAACAAGACATACTAAAGCTACCAGCACAACTATGTTTATTGCAGCATTATTTACCAGAGCTAAGATATGGAACCAACTCAGATGCCCCTCTAAATCTATGGATCAAGAAAATGTGATATATATGTTTACTTGAAAATTACTTTTAAATAGACATTGGGAACAAGAACAATAGGCATTCATAAGCATCA